GGGTCTTATTTCATGAGTGTGGAGTAAGGGTCTGATATCACGGGTGTGGAGTAAGGGTCTAATTTCTTTGTTTTGACTGTAGATGTCTAGTTGTTTCACTTCATTTGTTCCCAATGTATCCCTTCCCCATTGAATTGCCTTTATTCCTTTGTTGAAAATCAATCGACCATAAATACAAGAATTTATCTATGAACTCTCAGATCTGTTTCACCGATTTATCTGCCTGTCTTTGTGCCAGCCCCACACTGGTCTGTTTATAATAGATTTGCAGTACATTTTGAAATCGGGAAATGGAAGTCCTCCAACTTGTTCTTTTTCAAGATTGTTTTGCATCTACCTCTGCATTTTAATGTGTCAATTCATGCAAAAAAAACCTGCTTGGATTTTGATAGCAATGGGGTTAGAGCTATAGATCAGTTTGGGAAGATTTACCATCTTAGTAAATATTGTCTTTGGGTCCATGAACATGGAATGTCTATTTAATTGAAACTTCTTTTGTTTATTTCAGGAATCTTTTTTTTTAGCATCTAACTCTTACACTTACTTGGTTAAAGTTGTTAGGTGCTGTTGAGTCAGTTCTGATTCAGAGCATTCCTATGCACAACAGATGAAACCCAGTCCTGGCCTGATTCACCTCCCAGTAGTTAGGGAGGAGTCTGATGTTGCTGTCACTGTGTTAGTTCAGATCCTTGGGGGGTCTTCCTCTTTTTCGTTGACCCTCCAGTTTTCCATACATGATGGCCTTTTCCAGGACTAGTCACACCTGATAATATGTTCAAAGTACAAGAGACAAAGTCTCACCATGCTCATTGGCTAACTTATTCTTAAATTATGTTTTCTTCTTGATGCTATGTTGGTGTTAAGTGCCGTCGAGTCGGTTCCAACTCATAACAGCCCTGTGTAGGGTGAATTTCATTTAGTGAGTTTGAGCCGCTGACCTTGTGGTTCAAACCAATCTTGCAGTCCAGTGTGTATCCTAAATTTCATTTTTGGAATGTTATGCTAGTATATAAGTACTTGGTTAATTTTTTTCTTTTGCTTTGTATTTCATTTTTCTTCTCTAATCTTTATTACTTCCTTTCTTCCACTTGTTTTGGAATTCTTTCTTTTTTCTTACGGTAGAATATTAGGCTATTGATTTGAGCTTCTTTTCTAATGTAAGCATTTACAAGTATAAAGTATTCCCTATGCATATTGATACAGTTGTAGCCCATAATTTTTGATTTTTGTATTTCTTGTTTCACTTGAGTTCAAAATATTTTCCAATTTTTCATGTGACTTCTTTGATTCATAGGTTATTTAGAAGTATGTTTAATTTGCAAACATTTGTGAATTTCCTGCATCTCCTTCTGTTGTTGATTTCTTATTTAATCCCATTTTGATTGGAGACCATATTTTGCATGGTTTCAGTTCTTTGATATTTATCGGGACTTATTTGATGGCTAGCATATGGTCTGTCTTGGAGAATGTTAGTTACATGTGCACTTGAAAAGAATGTGTATTCTGCTCTTGTTGTGTAGAATGTTCTATAGATGCCAATTAAGTTGGTTGATAGTGTTGTTCAAGTCTTGCATATTTTTCTGTCTAGTTGCTCTAGCTGTGATTAAGAATGGGCTGTTGAAAGTTGGTAGAATTCTTCTATTTCATCCTCACAGGCGTCAGTGGTTCATGAATAAACCTGAATAATAGTGGTATTAACTGGTCTTCCCTCTAGGCGCATGGATATTACCCTATCACAGACAGCCTTTGTACCTCATGAATGAGCTGGATTTGTTCTTTCTGACGATGAATGCAACACCATTCCTCTTCAATTTGTCATTGCCGGCATAGTAAACCATGTGGTCATCGGATTCAAAATGGTCAATACCAGTCCATTTCAGCTCACTGATGCCTAAGATATTAATGTTCATGCTTTCCATTTCATTTTTGACAATTTCTGATTTTCCCAGATTCATACTTCATACATTCCATGTTCTGATTATTAGTGGATGTTTACATCTGTTTCTCTTCATTATGAGTTTTGCACCATCAGCAAATGAAGGTCCCGAAGGCTTTTCTCCCACAGGACTTACTC